ATGCATGGCATTAGTGCACCATTATAATTTAGCAAAACATGCCTGCTTTCTTGGAATATTGAAGATTTCCAGAGAGATATATAGACCCTCTTACAACATGGCATAGCTAACATAACAATAGGACCATTAATTTCATGTCCATCTCCATGTCCTCTCTCGGTGTCCTCAGTATGACGTTTTAATTTGCATATTATAGGGCTAGAAGGGAAATCTGCACGAATCCTCACTTCTATGAATTATATAATAGTAATTCACAACATAGGCACAGTCAAAGTGAAAACCGCTCCGTATTCGCTCTCTTTGAGTGGCTGAGGAATTTGGCAGTGCCAGAGTGGTGACAACTGCAAACGGCAACAATTTCGCAGGCAGTGGTGTTGATGACTCCCTCGTACAAGCAAGCTAATGGCGGGTTCGATTGTGACAAAAATAATTTCAGAAATTTCATCGTGCATGTTAACAGCTAATTTATCGTTTCCGCGAATCCAGGACAGACTTTTGAGGAGGGGTGACGAGTGGGGGAGGAAGGGGCTGGGGCCTCTGGCGCTGCAATAACCGCAGGGGAGGGGGGAGGGAGGGAGGAAGGCGGAGAGAGGAGGAAAGTGCGATTGGAGTTGGGGAGGGAAGAGCGAGTGGGGGATGCGGAAGAGAGTTTAATTTAGTTTTAGCTTAAGACCCGGACTATTGTAGCACTGGTGCCTACGCTGAAGAAATGCTTCTTCAAGTCCCTAAAAGGGTGCTAATAACTGCAACATTATGTTCCAGTAATGTCCATGCGCTGCCGCATTTTTCCCACAGTTATTCACGCCCTACGAATCTGCTGTAATTTCTTCTCAGAACACATCAAGACAGAAATGCATTCGTATAGATAACAGCTAAGCCAAAATGATATGGTACACTCAATAATAGTTTGTGCGCCCATCAAAGAAATTGATTTAACATTATATGAGAATGCCAATGGAGTCTGGGTATTCCGTGAGGCAGTTCCCAACAAATCGGAAAGACGCACTTATTTTCCATATCCGTAACCGGTGGGGTATTCGACCAAATTTTTTGTTCCGTCTATTTTTGCGTTACATTTCCTCTAATCATGAGACTTCTTGTCATAGATGGATCCAGGACGGACTCCTGGGAGAGTAAGGAACGACGGGAGGGGTGGGGGAGGGCCCCCTCCCACTCTGGAACTATGCAAAAACTAGGAATAGAGTTGCAACATTGCTACTTAGAGTTACTTTAGTTTTATTATGCGTTTTTGCCTATATGCAAATTGCAAAAACGCATATTGGGACGACCCTGTCTA